GTTAACCCAAGGAGTCTCTTGTCTCTTCCTGGAGATGCTTTGTCTGCACACCAATCTGCTTCAGAAATGTGTCTTTATTATTGTTCTTGCAGCATAATATAAATCAAAATGCATTTTTAATTATTGACAATTTGCCTAAGGGACCCTGCTAATTGACTTATATTATGCTGCAAGAATGTTAATAAAGACAACATTCTGAAGAAGATTGGTGTGCGGACAATGCATCTGACATGCTGTGGTGCCATCCACCAGTTGTTCCAGCACCCAAGGAATTTAAAAGAAGGGACTAATCGGTACAGAGTATGGCAGAGATGTTACTATTCTTGCTTGAGAGAGACACGACATATAAGGTGCGCAGGCGGCAGACCACATTACCAATTGCACCATATTACACAACCTGTTTGCCAAGACAGTTCTTGCAGCACACCAAGTAACAGAAAGGAAGACAGATAAGTCCTATTATAACAGAAGGACATTTGGTAGAGGCATTGGTAGTCTCTGGAAGCCTCATCACATTGGTCTCTGCCATTCTGGCGGACCCTGCCAAGCTTGGACCGCATTGGAGTACTTGGCATACATGGTGATGCGAAAGATTGGTGATGCGAGTCTACTGGGGTCCTCTCAGGGGCAAAAGCATGTCATGGGACAGGGCTTGTAGCAAAATTAAAGAAACAGCCAGCACTCCAGCACTTAAACACCATATATTAAAAACAAAGGTGTTAGTTGCATTTATTTGGAAATCTATGTGGAAGCCACAAGGCCTTGTCAAAGCCCCTCTGTGTAGTTTGGTCCCTAACTCTATTCTAACACAGCTCCTATCCTGGGATATGCAAAACAATAAATAGATTTAAGGCAGGTATGTCTGGGGGGTAACTAATTCCTCCTTAAAGGTGCAGAGACTTCCAGTGTGTCTCAGCAATCAATAACTAGCTTTTTAAAACAAGATGCACATTTCCAGCATACTTACCAGCCATTCAGCAAATTGATGCCACACTGTGTATGTTTGTATCAAGAATGGATAGTTCAAACTAGGGATGCACCGATACCGATAATAGTATCTGTGCCGATACCGGATATTATGGGTCGAGTACTCGTACTCACACAAATGGTCCCGATGCCTAGCCTGATACTGGAACTTCAGGAAGCCAGGGAGCGAGTCATTACACTCTGCCTGATTGGCTATGAAGCTGGCTCCATGTTCCCTTGTCACCAGGGAGCATGAAGCTGGCTTTCCGGCCAGTCAGGAAGCCGGGTAGCATATAATCACTCACCGTCTGGCTTCCTGATTGGTCGTCAAGCGGGCTCCATGCTCCCTCACCTGCCCCAGCTTCCCGGGTAATCAGAAAGCCGGGCGGCGAGTCATTACACACCGCCCAGCTTCCTTAATTGGACTTCCGTTATCAGTATTCAGTATCGCCGAGTACCAAAAAAAATATTGGTACTCGATGCCGAAAAATCAGTGCATCCCTAGTTTAAATTTCATGGGGGTGCTAGTGACAGTCACAGTCGAAGTACACCATCCTGTCCCTCACTGTCAGCCACAGTTAGCATAGGAGGGTGCATGGCCAACAGTGTATCAGATACCTGGTGGAGGCCAAGATGACAAGAGGGCTTTCCTTATAACTCTGGTCCAAACACCCCTGTAAGAGAGCACAGGGAGTTAGAGGGCACAGAGTGGCATGATTGCCGAGAGTCCAGATCGTTGAAACAGCTGAGCAGACACTGGTACACAGCAGACTGGAAGCGTGATCAGGACTAGCAGTGGTCAGTGGCAGAGAATACAGGGAGTAGGCGGGGAAGCAGGCAAAGTCGTAGGCAGGAGGGGGCTGAGGTCACACCAGAAGATCAGCAGAGAGAAGTTGTGGTCAGGAACTGGCCAAGGTCAATAGCAAGGAGGCAGAGCAAAGAGAAGACCAAGGGCAGCCTGAGTCAGCAATGGGGAAGCAAATCAGAAACTGGCTCAGGGTCAAGTTGCAGGGTAATCCAGCAACTTCCTAGCTTGGCACTGTTTCATAAATAGCCCATCTGCCAACAAGCCTGGAATTAGGCCTGCACGGCCATGCACCTGCACGACCACATATCCAAGCTCTTTGAGGTTAAATGTGTTAGTAAAAGGCAGTTAACCTACCAGGATGTTTTTGGATTATGGGAGTAAAGTGGAGAACCCAGAGAAAGCCCATGCAAACAAACCCGAAAATGACAGTGTCATTTATGGCAATCTAACCCACCCCCATAAGCAAGACTGCTAACCATAAACTATTTAAATATTTTTTTACAACTGTCATTCAAATAATTAATCAATATACCAGTCAGACCACACCCCCATTTTACCAAAGCTACTGTATATGCTGTTTGTACCATAACATATCTCTCAGGTTTATTTCTCTAATAATAACATGAACACTAGGTAGGGTTCTATTGTAAACTGGCAACAGAATAAGTAATATACATCTCCATGGAGACACCCAAGTGAGCTCAGAGCTCTCATTGCAGTCACAGTAAGGTGATCGGCCTTGTTTGTTTTTTTTTACAAGTGGCTTATGAAAAAATCATTCTTCAGACAATACCGAAAACCACAACAATTCTGTGGGGTATTTTTACTTCCAGGAAGTAACCAAAGTTCAGAGCAAATGCTTTCTTTAAAATGTAAAAATAAAGCAAGTTTTCTTCCTGCCAGCCATATTGACTTAAAAAGGTTTTATTCTTTGTTAGTTTGTGCATTAAAAGCCAAAGTCACTGCTTTGTGATATAGACACTTCCCATCGTATCCATCGGCAGGGTCCTTGCAAGATCTTAAATACTCCAGCGATGGTATGATGAAATCACAAAGAGGGGCAAAGGCTAGTGCAGTCAGTGGTGGCCCAGATAGGGTTGCCA